CCCTCAGACACACACGCCCGACCGAGGCCGCTACGACGCCTCCCCTCAGCCCCGCCCTACCGGCCACCCGTCACTAGCCAGCGCCCCACCCACTCTAACACCGGCCCAGATGTCAACACCAAGCTTAGTCCAAACCCCGGCCCACCCCGGCGGTCAGTCCTACATGCAAACAGACTGCCGGGTTACAGCAACCTCCTGTAGGCACGACAAGCCCACCGCCCCCCGCAACACGCACACGGTCACCGCACCACGCGCTACGCCACCGACTTCAACAAGCACCAGCCCGGGAACTCTCCAGACACTTCCACGGCATAGAAACGTCCATCCGCGAGTCTCGAGGCCCACGCCCGTCCTTCAGTCGCCCCTCCACACCACGCGCCTTGCTGCCTCGCAATTGCGGCCTCTCCCTCTCTGTACTCCTGCAAATCTTACCTATCCATCTAGCTCCCCTGTCTAACCCCTCATCCTCAGGCTAACTCCTAACCCACTACTTACTCGCTTACGCTAACCCGTGTACACTTGTGAATACATTACCACCCTTCCGTTAATACCACCCTACCTCCAGCGCCAACCTGTCTTGTTATATAGCGTAAGTACTCTCCCATTGCCCTCACTACTCCCGCGGACGCCCACTTACTCTTCATACGTGTCACAGCTGTCAGCATCTCTACGCAGCACATCCTCCCCGCCCTGGGCGTCAGGCTTCTGTCAGTCGTCGCACTTGCCAGTCATGTGTCACCTCGCCATGTCCGGGCAATGTCTTGACTCTCGGACGGCTAGCCACAACTCAACGCCTCTACATCCTCGGATAAGTTAACACATGATTTAGGAGAATACTGCGGCTGCATGCAGGCGCCAGTTGGGTTGAATCCCCTTAGGTTAAACTGTACTCTCTCGATCAACTAGCTCATATTACACTGTTCTTTGCTCTTTCTATGTCTGTCTTATCTATCTCTCTTACTTTCTCATATTCTCTCTTATTCTTCTCTCTCTATGTTCCTCTATTCTCTCTCCTTTCTCTCTCTCGCTCATTCTACCTCTCTCTCATCTACTCACTTCTCTACTTCTCTTCTCTTCTTTCATTTCTCACCTCCCTCTTCATTTCTCCTCATCTTCTCTCCTCCTCTCTCTCCCTCTCTCCTCACTCCTACTTTCTCTCTTCCTCTCTCCCTCTATCTCTCTCCTCTCCTATTGTCTATAATAATAAATCTAAACTAACCCTATCCTCCCACTCTTTACTTTGTTCCTACTCTACTTTCCTCATCCATTATCCCTCCCCTCCCATCTATCGTCACTTCACCTTCCCCTCACTCTTACCCTCCTTACCTTCCCCTATCTTACCCCCTTCTCCCTTTAGCATCCTCCACCATTGCTCCACCTCTTATCTCTCTAACTATCCCTTATCCTACCCGCTACCCTCACCTTGCCCCACTGTAAATTTTCCTATACGTTATTTAACGTCGCTTCATCCTTTAATACTGTTTATTCTTATTTATTGCTTTACCATTCTCACCATATCTCACTCTCAAACTCCTAGCTACTGCCGTATCCCAGTGAGTCGAGCATATTATATTATTCCACAAATAGGTGGCACAAAATTTCTTTTTTTTTTTATTTTTACTCATTTTATTATTCTACTTCATATCCCAATAAGTCACCTAGGCTCTCATATGTATCCTTGTAAGCTGGACCGCCACTATCGGGTCCCCTTATACCCTATATAGCATATATATAATATATCAATAATACGACGATCGGACGCTGCACGCGGAGAATACATACATGTTAGCTCCGCACTCGTCCATAATATACTATGCTCCTAGTCCACATCCGTACCCTCGCCTTAGAAGCCACTACTGTAGTAGTAGCAGTCTATCTATCGTTAGCGTTATGACCTTTATAGTGAGCTCTCGAGGAAAAAAAATATAGAAATCAACCTAACTAGACGCACTCATGTATACTACCTATTATCAACCCCACCGACTGCGCCCAGGCTCGCAACACCGCCCACACAGTAATACCCGTGATTCCAAACCTGACCACTCAGCCCTCTCTAGGCCCTTCCTCTCCGGCTACACGGTACTGCCTACCTCTATACCTACGTACCCTCTCTCGTACGTAAACACACTCAAAAAATTTCGATTATAAGGCCTCAACGTATAAAGAAAGGGCGAACCCCATCGTGTGTTCCTTTATTCTACCGTGACCTACGTGATCTCCCATTACTACCCTATCTGCTATTCTCCCATTACACCTTGATAATCTATTTCCTAGTCTATCTATATACTAACACTACACACCACACACACACACGATCTTACTCTCTATTACTCTGCTCTATCTCTCTTCATCTCTCTCTCTCTCTTCCTCTCTATTACTCTTACTATGTCATGTCTTCTCTCTCTTCTACTCTCTCTCTCTGTCACCTTTTGCTCTCTCTCTCTCATCTCTCACTCTATCTCTCTCTCTCTCTCTCTCTCTCTCTCATCTCTCTTCTCTCTTATCATCTCTCTTCTCTCTATCTCTCACTCCCTCTCTCTCTTTTCTCTCTCTATATCTGTACATCACCTCATCTTACCACTCTCCCTCCACCTACCTCTACACACACATCCTATCACAATCTCATCTATTCTCTTATCTATCTCTCCTCTCTATCTCTTCATTACTTCTACTCTTCATCTCCTCTCTCCTTCTCTTTCTCTTATTCTTCACTTTCTACTCTTACCTTACTCTCTCTCTCTCTTCTACTCTACTTCTTCTCTCATCTCTCTCTCTCTCTCTTCATCTCTCTTCTACTTTCCTCTCTCTCTTTCTTCTTTGTTTCTCTCTTCTCTCTTATCATATATGTTTATCTCTCACTCTCTCTATTTGTTTACTCTCTCTCTCTATGTAGTTTCTCTCTCATCTCCTGCTGTGATTCGTACATCGCTCTCTACTCTCTTGTGTTTTGTGTCGTGCTCTCGTCTCATGTCTGGTTATCTCTCAAGTCTCGCTGACTATCTCTCCTCTCCTCTCTCTTTTCCTCCTTCTCCTTCTCGTTCTCTCTCTGCTTATCTCATGCTCTCTCTCTCTTCTCTGTCTTCTCTCTCTCTGTTGAATCTCTGACATATCTCTTCTCTCTCTCTCTCCTATCCTCCCCTCCCTCCTCTCCCCCCTCTCGTTCTCTCTCTCTCTCTCTCTCTCTCTTCTCTCTCTCTCTCTCTCTCTCTCTCTCTCTCTCTCTCTCTCTCTCTCTCTCTCTCTCTCTCTCTCTCTCTCTCTCTCTCTCTCTAAGGCTCCTCCTTCGTACGTACTAATTTCGGGTTAGGTAAGAGAGGGGATTCGTTTCCTTCTCCCGTTGCCCCGTCTTCGCGATTTTTTTTTTTTTTTTTTTTGCGTTGTTTATGCACGTCTGCGGTGGTATGGAGTGTTGTCGGTAACTTATTGCGTTTTGTTTTGAAACGGTGATGAAGGTAGTCTTCGGATTCCCCCCCCCCCCGACCCCGTCCCCCTCGTATCATTCCTTCATTATGTTAAAGGGCATTTTTATATATATATATATATTCGGGTTGTTATGACTGTGGCAAAGAAGCGAGGATATTCTACTCCGCTCTCCCCGGTTGCCGAAAGACCTTCAAGACGGGGCGCTGTAAGACGGTAATGAACCTGACCTTACCAGACCTTGTTTACCGGCGAAGGAAGGCGCTTGCAAACTTTCTTTTTCTGGGAGAGCAAAAAAGGATCGAAAAAAAAAAATCTGGTGAGTGAGGAAGGTGGGGTGGGGTGGGGTGGGGGTTGGGGGGGAGCGAGGAGGAGGAGCGTGAGGATTGAGGAGATTGGAGAAGGTGGGGAGAGGGAAGGAGAGATGAGAGCGGTGGTTGGGAGGAAATGGATACTGTGGGAGGCAAGGGAAGAGAAAGAGAGGACTTTCGTTTTGAACCTCACTCTCCCTGCTCTTGCTCTCTCCTCCCCTTCCTTCCACTCTTACTTTCTCTCCTCGTTTCCCTTGCATCCTCCTCATCATGCACCTCGTTATTTTTTTCTGTTCGTTATTTTTTTCTTCTACGCCTTCCTTCCCTCCCTCCCTCTCCTGCATTATATATCCTCCTCTCTCCTCTCTTCTCTTCCGAGCCTCCTTCCGTCGCCTCTCCCCCGGCCGTCCAGCGCCCCGCTCTCACCTCCCCGCACCTCCCCTCGGCGCCATCCCCTCGCCCTTTAATGCAGGAGGTGGAGCGTCCCCTCCCCTCCCCTCCCCCTGCAGAGTGCCAAGGTGTGCCGTCACGCGCCCTCCCGCGCTCCGTGTACAGTTACCTTTGTGGCGGACGTGACACTCGACACGCGCCGCCCACCTCCGCCGAGGCGCGTTACTCTGGCCGCGGTGTTATGCGATGCTGTCCTGGCCCGAAGACGCTAATTTGCGCTGTCCTTCGGGCCTCTAGGGCGACCTCCTCCCGGCTGCGGCGTGCCTGGCGGGGCGCGGGGGGAGGGAAGATGGCGTCCCGGGTGCCTCTGCGATGGCGTTCTCGCGGAGAGCCAGGTGACAAAGAGGAGACGACGGCATCGAGCAGGGCTTATTGACGCAGGTCCTTCAGTCCGTCGCACGCCTGCTTTCCTGGTCCTCTCGCTCTTATTTTTCTCTTCTCCTTCTACCTCTCGCTGCGACCTTTCACCTTCATCCGGCGCACGCGTTGTTGGCGTTAAAGTTCACGTTCAAGGTCGAGAACAGGTGGTGGCGGTGTTCGTTCGGCGGACGCGGTACGCAATACGCATGCACAAGCGGCTGGCTGCGGCGGCGTTCTGCGCTGGGAGAGCAGCGTCTGCATCTTGCAAGGGAGGCTGCGCTCGGGTGGAGGGACGGAGGAGGGGGTGGCGGAGGGGCGTGGGAGGGGGTGGCCGAAGGGGGGAAGAGGAAGAGGGGTAAAAGTTTAAAAAATCTAAACCTTTTAGTGGGGTGGTAGATTATTATTTTTTTATTATTATTATTTGTATAATGATAGTCATGATGATGATATTGACAATGA